CCTGCCACCCAAATGGGAGACCAGATGAAGTTCTAGGTCCTGCATTTGGTCAACACAAGCCTCGACCATTGCAGACATGTGGGGAGTGAACCACAGGATGGAAGATTTCTCTCTCTCTACCTTTCATGTAACTAAATAAATATTTTTTAAAAAAAACTTGCTTTTACAAAATAATGACTGAAAATCTATTTTGAGAATAAAACTGGGGGGGCCGACAGGGTGGCATAGTGGATATAAAGCCTGCAATGCCAGCATTCCATATGGGTTCCACTCTGATCCAGTTCTCTGTTAATGGCCTGGGAAAAGCAGTAGAAGATGGCCCAAGTGCTTGGGCTCCTGCTACCCACATGGGAGACCTGGATGAAACTCCTAGCTCCTGGCTCCTGGCTCTGGCTCTGGCTTGGGCCCAGCTCTTGCCATTGAGGCCAGCTAGGGAGTGAACCAGCAGATGGATGATATCTCTCTCCTCTTTCCTCCCTCCCTCCCCCTCCCTCCCTCCCTCTCTCTCTCTCTCTCACACCTTGCCTTTCAAATAAATAAGTCTTTAAACAAATAAAAAAAAGAATAAAACTGGCACTACTGATTTAATTAAAAGTAGAGGTAAAATATATAAATAATTTCATTTGAATGTGTTAATATTTTCACTAAGTTTTTACTTTTGGTAAAATAGTATGAAAGCAGACAATATCTCTATGGAAAAGAATGTAAGCTCTAAACTCTAGAACACAGGAAGACAAAATATTGCAAATAAAAATATCAATTAGCTTTCAAATAGTCAAGGATCTTTACAGAAATCGTTTACAGAAATCCTTTAACTATATAGGATAAGTGAACTCACTACTTCCTTCCTTTATTGATTCAACAATATTTAGAGAAACATTACAATGTATAGGGCATTATTCCTGAAAATCTACCCATTAAGAACATGCCTGATTATCCAAATCCTGCCTTCCTGGTGACTTATAATACTGAATGATAGATAAATTCTGATTGGAAAGAAACAAGCCACGTGTGATGGGTTTTTATAATTCTACGTCACCTCAGTGTCCATTTGTACCCTCCAGCGGAAGAATTAGGGGCTCCCCAGGCCAGGTTCTCCCAGGAGACGGGGAGAACACAAGGTCAGGCTCTCAGCACCACAGGGGTGGTCGAGCAGGCCTAACTGGACCTGGCTCAGGCAAGGACCCCAAGGGCATCTGCCAGTATAAAGAAGTTTCCTGTGTGCGGGACCCCAGTCAGGGACTCACACGAGGCTTCAGGCTGTCCACCAGGTAAAAGCACTCAAGAGGCATCCTGCAAACACCTGTGTCCAGCTCCCCTTCATTTCCTGCTGGGCAGGGTTGCAGGCCTCTCTGGTACTAGAATTCTAACTTGTCTGGCAGACTCTGAAAACATCAAGACCCTAAAACACTCCAGGCAACACTGATTATAATTTAAATTTATCCAAGTAATATTTTTCCATCACCAAACCTGTAGTAAAAGAGGGGGACAAGAAGTTCATTCTTACCTCAAGGATTCCTTACAATGGGAATACATTTAAGAGGGAAGTTATGTAAGGTAGCATTCAAAATATTTAAAAGTGTACATGACTTCATGTGAACATTCTGAAAACAGAAAATCAGTGAGCCAGCCGGAGCGATGTAATCGTTTAAGCCAGACAACAATAGGTTTTATTGAATTTCATCCTTACAAACTAAGTGATTTCATATCCAGTAGTCGTCCGACAACAAACAAAAGAGACAAGGAGCACTGAGGAGGCCAAGGGGAAAGCAGAAGCCTCGTGTACTGCTGGCAGGGCGTGCGAGGTGCAGCCTAAGGACAGGCTGTATGGCTGTACAGGCTGGCAGGGGGTAGGAGGTGCAGCCTAAGGACAGGCTGTATGGCTGTACAGGCTGGCAGGGCGTGCGAGGTGCAGCCTAAGGACAGGCTGTATGGCTGTACAGGCTGGCAGGGGGTACTAGGTGCAGCCTAAGGACAGGCTGTATGGCTGTACAGGCTGGCAGGGGGTGCGAGGTACAGCCTAAGGACAGGCTGTATGGCTGTACAGGCTGGCAGGGCGTGTGAGGTGCAGCCTCCTTGGAGGCCAGTCTGGCAGCTTCTCAAGCCATTAAATATAGAGCTGCTGTTTGCACGAGCAATTTACTCCTAGGGTATATACCCAAGAGAAATGAAAACATGTTCACATAAAACATCGTTCGTGGACATTCAGAGCAACATTCATTCATAACTGCTAAAAAGAAGTAATCCAAATGTCCATCAACTGATAAATGGATAAAAATGAGGCACATCCACCCAGTGAGAACATTCTTCAACCATGAAGGGAATGGCGTTCCGATCACTGCAACACGCATGAGCCCAGAGCGCAGCGCGGCGCCTGGAGGAGCCGGCCCAAGCCACACAGAGAAATGCACACAGAGAAAGCAGCTGAGCGGCGGTCCAGGGCCAGGTGGGTGGTAGCCTGGGAAGCAACAGCTAAAGGGTTCAGGGTTCCTTTGTGAGGTAAGCAGAAAGTTCTAACGTTGACTGCGGTGACAGTCACACAACTCTGTGAACGTCCTGAAGCACTGTAGGACTTCGCACTTTAACAGGGGAACTGCACAGTATGTGAATTTCATCTCAGTAACACTGTTAACCAAAAAAACCTGTAGACAAAACAAATCCTGTGCATATAACTGACAGGTAAAACTTGACAACATGTCACAAGTACTATTTTTAAGAGAACTGAGTCACCACAGGACTGTGACCTCTTTCTCTTTGGAACAGATACTGCCTTTGAAGTAGGAAATAAAGGTAGGACAGAGGACATTGTTTTGACTTTATTTTCTATTTTATTTATTTTAATCTACTTGAAAGGCAGAGCAACAGAGAGAGGCAGAAAGACAGAAGTGGAGAGATCTTCCACCTACTGGTTTATTCCCCAAATGCCTGCATTAGCCAGGGCTGGGCCAGGCCAAATCCAGGAGCCCAGAACTCCATCCAGATCTCCCACATGAGTAGCAGGGGCCCAAGCACTTGAGCCGTCATCTGTTGCCTCCCAGGACACATCAGCAGGGAGCTGGATCAGAAGCAGAGCAGTTGGAACTCAACTCCCAGGTATGGGATGCGGGTGTTGCAGGTGGCGGCTTAAGCCGCTGTGCCACGGTCCCAGCCCGTTTGACATTAAAGCCCCGCCCCTTAGGGAGCGGGTGGGTGCTCCGAAGGCGAGAATGCATGGTAAATTCTGCCAGTTGACAATTACGCTAAACTCTTCCTGACAACAAAATGCTCTAGTTGGAAGGGATAAATTTAAGGTGTATCCACTGGTAGCTGCTGGTTCCACATGATGGGCTAAACTGCTAAGTGAGATAAGGAAAACTCAGACAGCTAAGTCCCGGGCATGGAAGCTCATTACTGAATGACCTAAACACAGGGGCCCATGTGAGCTTAAGCACACACAGGGGAGGCGAGAAAAGGTCTGGGAATGATTGTGGAAGTCCAGGAGAAGGTCTGGGAATGATTGTGGAAGTCCAGGAGAAGGTCTGGCATTCTGCAAGGCACCCTTACTAAGGACAGCTGCCATCTGGTCTGTTAGGGCCTGCAAGTCTAAGACAGGACCAGCATCCCCCAGAACACAAAGCTAAACTTTGGTGCGGATTGAAAATCGTCTGTCCTCTGAGGCTCTCCCTCCCCATCCAGGTAAAGAGCCCTGGGCCTGATGAGGGTGGAGGAAATGAGCTCACAGCTACCCTGTGCACTGCGGCTGATGGAAGGAAAAGGAGAGAAGCCTGTTCTCACAGCAGTGGGGACCGCAGCACATGCCAGGGCAGAGCTGAGGAGGGGCAGGCACACGCCCAGAACAGGGCCAGGGAAATAGATACACAGGAGGTGTCAGGGCAGGGGTCTGGTGCTTAACATGCCTGCATCCCATATCTAAGTACCCTGATTGAAGTCCCTACTCAGGTTCCTGCTTCCTGCTAATGCAGACCCTGGGGGGCAGCAGGAGGTGGCTCAAGTAGTTGGGTGCCTGTCACCCATGTGGGGGACCTGAGTTGAGTTTCTGGCTCCCAGTTTTGGCTCCAGCTAAATAAGCCCTGACTGTTGTGGGCAGTTGTGAACAAATGGGGGTTCTCTCTCTGTCTGCCTCTCTCTCTCTCTCTCTCTCTCTCTGCCTCTGAAATCATTTTTTTTTGAAATGTGAGGTTCCTTGTTCATGAATTAAGATTTTCAGCAACAGTGGCAGCAAAGTGTGACATCAGCACAGGGCTCGTCTCAGCATGAGGATCTGCAGCCACGCGGGCTGTATGCTCGGGAGGCAACGCTGAACCCCAAGTCGCAAGCACAGTGCTGGGAAATACTCAGACATGGCAAAGTACACACCAGACAGCCAAGCTTAGCCATAGCCTTACCACCCAGAGACCACCACTGCTACCATTCAGGGGTAAGGCCCAGAGATCTTTCTACATAGAAAAATACATGTTGACATTCTGTAACATGTGCTTCTGTAGCCACTTGAACAATTACTATTTGGAACGCTTTCCAAAATATTAGGAACTACAGATCATTTCAATCCCATTACACAGAGATTATAGAATATGTCAGCCCATGTTCCATTTAACCAAACCCCTGCTGCTGGACTTCTGAGAGGTCCTGAGCTCTTCATTATTGTAAGTGATGTGCAGTGAATATCAATAGAGTTGAGTGAAGACTGAATAAGTCATCAATACAAAGCACTTCACAGAGTACTTGGCATGTAATGAGCTCTTGATAAATGCTAGTGATTTTTAAAGTATTGTGCTCTGTGTAAAACTTGAACTAATTTACATTTCCAACAGCAGAGTAAAAAGGATTGGTTTTCTTAAATCCTTGCCAAATCTTTAGATTCTTTTTTTTTATTTCTCCTATGAGTGGCTTGTTCATGTTCCTTGACAGCTCACCCATTCGATTCTCACCCTTTTTGACTTTCTCATTGATTTCTGTACTGGGGACATCAATCCTTTGCCATAGGAATAAACTTGACTCACCTCCAGTTCCCAGGACCTTCAGGAGCTCAAAATTTTCAATCCCCACCTTCTCTGCATGTCCTGTTAAATTAGCTGAGAGAGAGAGAGAGAGAGGAAAATACGTAAGGGAATCAGCAACAGAAGAGGAACCAAGGGGCTCTGGAGGACCAAAGTTCTACCTCCTTACGTGGGTGGCTAAATCGGGATTCACTTCCAAATAATTTTCTATACAATACAGCTAAGTTTTCTGAAATTTCTGTATGCTGCACATTACAGTAGAACTTTTTCTTAGGATTTAAGAACTATGTATCATTCATACCAAAGTTTAACACAAAGTGTTAATAGAATCTCTACTAACCAACATAATACAAAAATGAACAAAAATTCTACTTCCATTTATTCTTTTAAAAACTTATTTATTTAAAAGTCAGAGTTACAGTGAGAGAGGGCTGTTCCATCCATTGGTTCACTCCCCAGATGGGCTCAACAACCAGGGTTGGGCCAGGCCAAAGACAGGAGGCAGGAGTTTTGTCCGGGGCTCCCACATGGGTGTCAGGGGCCCAAAACACTTGGGGCATCTTCTGCTGCTTTTCCCAGGCCATTAGCAGGGAGCTGGATCAGAAGTGGCACAGCTGGGACACAAACCAGTGCCCATGGGATGCTGGTGTCGCAGGTGGCAGCTTTACCTGTTATGTCACAATGCCGGCCCCCCAAATTCTAATATGTAAATAGACACAAACTGAAAAGAAAACTGGACAGACTTAGAAGATGCATTCATCTGCTCAGTGCCGTCCCCAGGCTCCAGGCTGGGTTTTCAGCCCCTGTCCTGCTGCTAAGTCCGGGACAGGAGTTTGTTTTCATTCAGCACTTGAACACCCTGTGTCTCAGCTCTGAAATAAAAGCACCAGTCTCAATGAACTCTAGAACTGTTTCAAAATACGAACTCTTCAAAAAAGCATTCTGTCGAAAACAAGATCAGTGTCTTGTAAATGAGCATTTTTCACTGAATTTCACAAGATGTTGACAAGTGTTCTGTTAGGGCCAAAGGTTAGATGCACGGTGTTCTGGGCAAATACACTTGAAAATGGTTAGCTTAAGCTAACAGCTCATTTCTTTACCCCTCAGCCTCAGATCTTGTACTATGAAAAGATGCACATGGATCTTCAAGATGGAGATACTGCATTGGTCAGATTTATTTCATCACAAAATTACTTCCATGCTAATAGCTATTAATAGTATGTGAACCAGCATTCTGTAGGAGCGGCTAAGAAAGCTTGATCCAGGGCCAGGGTTCTGGCGCAGCAGGTAGAGCTGCCCCTGCAATGCTGCCATCTCATATGAGTGCCAGTTTGAGTCCTGGCTGTTCCACTTCCCATCCAACTCCCTACTAATGCGCCTGGGAAAACAGCAGTAGATGGCCCACATGCTTGGGCCCCTGCACCTACATGGAACACCTGGAAGAAGCTCCTGGCACCTGGCTGTGATCTGGCCCAGCCCTGGTCATTGTGGCCATTTAGGAAGTGAACCAGTGAATGAAAGATTCTCTCTCTCTCTCTCTCTCTCTCTCTCTCTCTCTCTCTCTCTAACTCTGCCTTCCAAATAAATAAAATAAATCTTAAAAGGAAAAAAAAAAAGGGCCGATGCCGCGGCTCAATAGGCTAATCCTCCACCTGCAGCACCGGCACACTGGGTTCTAGTCCTGGTCGGGGCGCCAGATTCTGTCCCGGTTGCCCCTCTTCCAGGCCAGCTCCTGCTGTGGCCCAGGAGTGCAGTGGAGGATGGCCCAGGTCCTTGGGCCCTGCACCCACATGGGAGACCAGGAGAAGCACCTGACTCCTGGCTTCGGATCAGCACGGTGCGCCGGCCGCAGCACACCAGCCGCAGCGGCCACTGGGGAGTAAACCAACGGCAAAGGAAGACCTTTCTCTCTGTCTCTCTTTCTCACTGTCCACTCTGCCTGTCAAAAAAAAAAAAAAAAAAAAGGAAAAGCTTGTTCCAAATTCTAGTTCTACCACTTAAAAATTGTATGATCTTGATCATGTTACTTAACTTCACTATTTCAATTTCCAATAATGTAAAATGGGGATAGTAAAAATGCCTACCCCAAAATGTACTGGCATCTGCAATTTATTAACAAGTAAGATGGGGTTTATGGATGAATATAGGTATGAACAAATGCATCTCAAAGCAAATACAACAAAATGTTAATTATAAAACCTAGAGCATAAGTATAAGGATGTTCAACATACAATGCTTTCAAATTCTCTGTGGATCTGAAAATGTCTGTAATAAAATAATACCACCCCACAGGGTTGTGAAAGGGTTAAATGACTTGAATTTATAGTGCTTGCTGAGTACCAGTAAGCACTAGAGTAGGAGTTCATAAATAGGTTGATGCTTTGGGACTATAACTTTAAGAAAACTGGGCCCAAATAGAACTTCTAGAATTCAGAGTTTTAGGGGCAGTTTCAATGTTTTTCCAACGTTTAATTAAGTTCATAGTTTTAAAAAGTCTTTTTTTTTTTTTTTTTTTTTTTTTTTTTTTTTTGACAGGCAGAGTGGACAGTGAGAGAGAGAGACAGAGAGAAAGGTCTTCCTTTTGCCGTTGGTTCACCCTCCAATGGCCGCCGCTGCAGCCGGCGCACCGCGCTGATCCTGGCAGGAGCCAGGAGCCAGGTGCTTTTCCTGGTCTCCCATGGGGTGCAGGGCCCAAGCACCTGGGCCATCCTCCACTGCACTCCCTGGCCATAGCAGAGAGCTGGCCTGGAAGAGGGGCAACCGGGACAGAATCCGGCGCCCCAACCGGGACTAGAACCCGGTGTGCCGGCGCCGCAAGGTGGAGGATTAGCCTATTGAGCCACGGCGCCGGCAAAAAAGTCTTTAATCATGGTTAAAAATATATAAATAATATTTCCCATTATCAGCATTTTAAGTGTATGGCTATATGCGTATGATTGTGCAACAACTTCTGGAACTTTTCCATCTTGCAACAACAACAACAAAAAAGGAAACTCTACAGCCATGAACAGCACAGCAGGAGGATCCTGGCTCTTGGATCCAGCCTGGCCCTGGCTCAGGCCCAGCCATTGTGACCATTCTGGGGAGTAAACCAGTGGATGGAAGATCTCTCTCTCTCTCTCTCTCTCTCTCTCACCCCACCTTTCAAATAAACAAAAATAAATTTTAAAAAAGTTTGATTGTTAATGCATAATTTTATAATGGTTTATAATGGGAACAAATCAATGAACATGACATAGCTCTCATTGACATCAATATATATCGAAAAAGAAATACTCAAAACATAGGCAGTATCTTAAAGTAAACATACAATAGCGTATCTTCCTCTAGTATGTCAAGCACATTACACTGAAAGCCAGGTTTGCAAGTAATAACTTAAAAAAAATTATTTGGTGCCAGCACTGTGATGTAGCAGATAGAGCTGTCACCTGTGACACCAGCATCCTATACGGGTGCCAGTTTGTGTTCTTGCTGCTCCACTCATGACCCAGCTTCCTGCTAATGGCCTAGGAAAAGCAGAAGATGGCTCAAGTGTATGGGCCCGTGCCACCCATGTGGGAGACATGGAAGATGCTCATGGCTCTTGTCTTTGGCTCGGCCCAGCTCTAGCTGTTGAGGCCATCTGAGGAGTAGACCAGCAGTTGGAAGATCAGTTGATCAATCAAATGATCTATCTCTCCCTCTAACTCTTTCAAATAAGTTAATCTTTTTTTAAAAAAAAAATCACTAATTTGAGAGGCAAAAAGACAGAAACATGAAGACAGCTCCCATCTGCTGGTTCACCCCCTAAATGCCCTTAAAAGCTTGAACCGAAGCTAGGAGCCAGGTACTCAATCCAGATCTCCCACACAGGTGGCAGGAACCCAAATACTTGAGCCATCGCCACTGCCTCCCAGGTTCTGCATTAACAGGAAGCTCTGGACCAGGAGCCAGAGCTGGTCATCAAATCTGGGCACCCCAATGTGAGACACAGGCACCTGGACCACTAGGCCAAAGGTCTGCCCGACAATCACTCTTGAAATAATGACTTGGCTCTCTTCTACTTAGATGTTAAATTCTTTAATATACAAAACAATTTAAGCTACTGTTAAAGAGTTGTGTTAAAAAAAAATGTTCCTAGTTCATTAGGGCTCAATTTTTATTTACTTAAGCATGTAAAAGCCCAGCTATCCAAAAACTCTGCCCATATACTATATATTTTCTTCATATCTAGTTATTTGCTGCTAGATTGGAAAGGTAAGGAACTATTTCTTTCTTTTTTTTTTTTTCATTGTTTATTTTTATTTAATTTTGACAGCCAGAGTTAGTGAGAGAGAGAGAGAGACAGAGAGAAAGGTCTTTTAGGTCTTCCTTTTCCGTTGGTTCACCCCCAAATGGCCACTATGGCTGGAGCCTGTGCCAATCTGAAGCCAGGAGCCAGGTGCTTCTCCTGGTCTCCCATGGCGTGCAGGGCCCAAGCACTTGGGCCATCCTCCACTGCCTTCCTCGGCCACAGCAGAGAGCTGGACTGGAAGAGGGGCAACCAGGACAGAATGCAGCACCCCAACTGGGACTAGAAACCGGAGTACCGGCGCCACAGGCGGAGGATTTGCCTAAGGAGCCGTGGCACCAGCCAAGGAACTATTTCTTTAAAAAAAAAATTTTTTTTTATTTGAAAGGCATAGTTACAGAGAGAAGAGTGACAGGGAGAGAGTGGGAGTATGGGGGTGGGGAGAGGAGAAAGAGGAGAGAGAGAGGGAGAAAATCTCCCACCTGCTGTTTCACGCCCATGGCCCAGCTGGTCACAATGGCCAGGGTCACCCTTTTAAAGTGTACAACTCAGTGATTTTAGATGCTATGGTCACCACTAATTGGAGAATCAATTTCACCCTGGAAAGACATTTTTCCTTGAGACACAGTTCTGGATCATTTCGTCCAGAATCTGAAACGTGTCCTCCACTCTCATGGCCTGCCTGGCTTCTGAGGAGCAGTCAGCTGTTCACGAAGTGGATCGCAGCTCCTCTGTTCAGAGATGTGTCATTTCTCCTATCCCTCTCTTTATTTTTGTATAAACATAAATTACTTTATGCAAATGACATTATGCTATAGTATTCCAACAGTGAGAAATCCAGCTGAGAACACATTGCCTTGAGAAGTGAACACCCTCTCCTCATTTTTTTCTTACTGCTTGGCACTCAACAGCTTCAACATGGTGTGCCTTGGGGTAGACTTCTTTGGTTTATTCTACCCTCTATTCATTGAGTATTTTCCAGCTGTAAATTTGTTTCTCATCAAATTTGGGGATTTTCTGCCTTAACTTTTCAAATAATTTTTTCTATCTATTCTCTCTCGCTTCTCCTTCTGTGATTCCAATTACACGTATGTTGGACTGTTTGATACTACCTGAGATTCCCTGAGAGTCTGTTCATTGTTTTCAATATATTTCCTCTGCTTTTGACATTAATTTCTATTGCCTTAGCTTCCAGTTCCCATACTTTTCCCTCTGACTCTCTATTCAGCTATTAAATCCATCCAGTATTTATTTTTAAAGTATTGCATTTTTTCATTTCTAGACCTCCTTTTTCATTATTTTCTATTTAGCTGGTAAAATCTCCTATTGTTTTAGTCACTGAGAGTATGTTTTATTTCATTGAGGATGCTGTAAGAGCAGCTCCAAAATTCGTGTTGGCTTTCTCAGTACCTCATTGCCTCAGGGTACAATCGGTTGACTTTCTTCCTGCCTGGGATATGGTGTATTTTCTTGATTCTTCATATCTAGGATAATTTTTCATTGCATCCTGAGCATGGGCAGTGGTACCCCATGCAGAGCCTTGGTTGTTGTTTTTCTCCAGTGCGAGTTACTGTTTTAACCAGCAAAGGTCAGATTGGACTTGAACTACAAACCCTGTTTCTTGGGAGGCAGCCCTAGTCCCAGACCACACCTGCGCTATAGAGTCTCCTGTACTCAAGCATGGTTCGCGGTTAGGCCCAACGTGAGGACACTGACCATGAGGCACACCCCGCCCCCCACCGCCACCCTGGCCCTCCTCAGCTATTCCTCTACTATCTTCCATGATCAGAGTTCCTTGGCTTCAGTTTTCTGGTTCCCTTGGCCAGAGAGGCTAGAGGTTTATTCTTCACCAGAGTCCCCACAGTGTAGACTACACTGAGCGGAAGCTAGCGTCAGAGCAAAGGCAGAGACTTCTCACAGCCCCCTCCAGGGGGCACCCGCACCCCCCCCCCCCCGCCCCGCTCCCCGGGAGTGTGCGCTTCTGCTCGCTCTCCAGTGCTCTCAGGAGGCTGTGCCATGCGTTCAGCCTTGCTCGGGTTTTAAAGCTGCTTTCTGAAAAGGAATCCGCCCGCCGGGGGGTTTATTTCTTGAATTATAAAAAGCAAAAAGCCTTCCCACAAGCCAGGGGTTCCATGGGGATTTCCTACTTTCCAATTACCCAAAAAAAGTAAAATAAAATTGCAAAGGTGAGATGACACAGGCCCATCTCAGAGACCTTGAAATATCCATAATTATTTCCTTTATA